AAAATCCCCTCATGGTGGTGCCAAATATCTGGGGACCAATTGAATAAATCTAGTAGGTCGTTATGGCAGAAATACGTACAGCGAGATGCGGCTCAGAGTAGAATGGCCTAGGCTTGACGACTAGTGATCAAACAGGCAGAACAGTTGAAACCAAACTGGATTTTATCTCCCTCTCCTCCGTACTAAGCTTGAGAACGGGGCCCTGTGCCTGTGCGGCAGGTTTTATGAGACGCTGCCGGCTTCAATCGTCATCTTGGGGGCGGCTGGGCAGGGAGGTGTCGCAATTCGTCTCAGTGACTGGGCGCTTCGCTATGCTATGCTAAGAATAGGCTTGAGCTTCTTGGGTAACGGTGTATGTATAGGGCAGGACTATTTAGGCATGTATGACCTGAGTAATTCGCAGGCGTTGGCATTGTGCGCATAGAGTATGTAATGAGGTGAGGCCTCCGCTGTGTCATCCCTGTCAAAAGCTGGCGGCATAGATATGGAGTAGTACTCCGTAATACTCCAAAATGCACCGGTCACATTTGCAAATGCTAACTTCGCTTGTATAGAGAAAAAGTCGAGGAGAGCTTTACAGCCTCTCCCTTTGCACGATGAGGCTTTTTGAGTCGCCAAGCGGTGGACAGACCAGTCACAGACCTTGGTTAGCGCCATCTAGGCGCGGGCGGCGATCGGGATAGTTGCAGCGGCTAGGGGAACAGCCCGTCCTGATGCTCTGAGACCCTGTGTGGTTTTGCGTGTTTTGGCGGCGGCTCGATGACGCCGGGAACAAAAGGCGATGAAACCAACCACTGACATGAGCCACTGCAGATATGTAGTTTATTTCGTCCGTGTCACAGACGCCGGGGCACCCCAGGCCAAGACTCGCCAGAATCGAATTTGTACTCGGTAGCGAGCAGGTATCGAACCCTGGTCCCAGAAGGAGTCGAGTCGGTCGAGTGCAGACCAGTCAGAGAGTGGGCTTTTTGCTGTGTCAAGACAATAACACTGGCTCGGATAGTTGATGGTTCCGATTGGGCGTGGCCAAGGTCTGTCGCGTTTGAAGCAGAAGTTAGTAGTACGAGGAGCTCGGTATTACGGAGTATGTGTCAAATCAACAACAGGACAGAGCTAGGGAACTTTGTTGATGTGGGCAAACGGCGGATGACGTCTCATGCAGGCAGGAAGAGAGGGTTGGTAATGGCATTGTTTCCCTGCGCCGCCACCGAGCTGCAGAAAGATGTCCATGACTCCGCATGTGTGGATTAACGTCTCGACGTCTCGACGTCCCACGTCCCACGTCCCTCATACGGACCTACGGTCAATACTCTGTATACCCAGCCAGCAACAGCCCGCGGCGCACCTGCCGCGTGGTTTGTGGCGATGCCCTCCAGCACGAGACCACTAGTCCAACATTGAAGTTGCCAAGTCTCCAGGTCTCCACAGCGTCGACGGGGCTCTAGGTCTCAATACGACTCCGTTACGATACGGAGTAGGCATCCCACGAACTTGGGTTCATCCGTGCATGTGCCCTTTTGCCCCTTCTCCACTTGTCGTCGCCCAGCCAAGCACCCAGGCCCTCGACCTGGGGACGGGACCTGGACGGGGCCTTCGCTGAAGCAACAACAGTGCAGCGTGGCAGCGTCGTCACGGCCAATCACTCTAATCCGACTGCCACTGCCACTGCCACCCTCGGCCATGCCACGGGCACACACATGGGTCTAGTCTGGTCCGCTCCCGGTCGATTGATGCCAAATCAGTGGTCCTATCCGCCCCAACCGGCCGCCGAACCACGCAGCCAGTCCACTCACTCCATCTAAATCTCCCTGCCTTCTCAGATCACACACTCTCAGCCATCCAACAATCTCATTCGAGTCTTTTGTCCCTTTGTCGCCCAACTCGTCGTCTCTTTTTTTTTTTTGCCATCAGCCAGAGACCCCTCGTTGTCACGCCGAGCCGACTAGCCTCACATTCGTTGTAGCCGAGTCCATCTGTGTATACAGCAACACACAACCATCCGATTAGGGTCAAACCACAGCAGTGTCACTCAATCCCTTGGAATCCCGCCGCGGCGTCTGCATTGCTGATAGACGTCTTCTCGGACTTGCATTCCCTCGTTGCCAGAGCCTCAGAGACCCGTACATTATCGTCGATGAGTTGCATGCGGTAAATTCTGCGCCATCCGCTCCTACTCCGAGCGACCTTTCCTCCCGTTCCGCCGTCTTCTGGCGTAGCCTACCATGGTTTCGCTGAAATCTCTCGTGACTGCTGTCGTAAGCGTAGCCTTGCTGGCTCATTCATCGCTGGGTAAGTGACCGTCTTTTGCTTCTGTGCCGAGGGCTTGTTTGATGGCCGTGGCTCTTGTCCGCAGCGAGCCACATTACTAACCTGTCATTCAACATGCAGCACACTCTGTAAAGCGAAATCCCGTCAGCCGCATTTCATTAGTCCAGGAACCCGTCATCCAGGCGCCTTCACACCGCGTACATGCATTTTCTAAATTCGATCTCACCTTTTCATTACAACATGGCCAACAGAATATTCGCCTGGCCCTCGAACCCAATCACGATGTCCTCCACGAGGACTTCTCTATCACACATCTAAACGAAGACGGATCAGTCCGGGAAATAGTAAAAGTACCCCGTTCGGAGGACAAGGTGTACCGCGGAGACGCTTTCATCGAGCGCCCCGGCATTCAAGGATGGTCCAAGGCTGGCTGGGCACGAGTGACGGTTCACGAGGATGGAGAAAAGCCCATCTTCCAGGGCGCCTTTCGCATTGACGGCGACAATCACCACATTGTCCCGCGGTCTGACTACCAATCAATGAAGGACGAGAGGGATCCTGCTGTTGACTCCGCCGACGACGACGTAATGGTTGTGTGGCGCGACTCCGATGTCATGGACTACTATGACGGACATGGCGAACTGAAGCGCGATCTTGCCGATTCATCCAAATGCAACGCTGACACCCTCGAGTTCAACCCCAGGTTTTGGCAAGATGTGGACGAAACCGGCAATTCCCTTCAATCTACGAGCCTCCCATCTCTCTTTGGTCGGCAAATTGATAGTGGCGGTGGCGGTACGGGCATGAACTTGCTCAATTCCATCGGAAGTTCTGCTGGCTGTCCAACTACAAAGAAGGTGGCTCTGGTGGGTATTGCTACTGACTGCAACTACTTTTCGGCATTCAACGACACAAAGGTTATCAAGAGACGGATCATTGGGGTCGTAAACTCAGCCTCTGAGGTTTACGAGAGCACCTTTAAGATCTCACTGGCTATCAAGAACCTGACCATCTTCGACCGAGGATGCACCGGCACTACGCCCGCCAACACGCAGTGGAACGTTAAATGCAGTGACGGTGTAGGTATCAACGATCGCTTAAACACGTTTTCCAAGTGGCGCGGCGAATCCAAAGATGAGAATGCCTACTGGACCCTCTTCACAACCTGTGCCACGGACACAGCCGTTGGCCTGGCCTGGCGAGGCATGCTTTGCCGGGCCGGCGCCAGCGATCAGGGAACCAGCGCTCAGAACGAGACGGTTGCGGCCACCAATGTCGTTGTCAAGTCCGATACGGAGTGGCAGATTTTTGCCCATGAAACTGGACATACCTTTGGAGCTGTTCACGACTGTACACCGCAGACGTGTCCAGTCAAGGGCCCCACACCAGATTGCTGTCCGCTGAGCAGAGGACAGTGCGATGCTGGTGGCAAATACATCATGAATCCTTCTACTGGCAGCGGTATAACGTCCTTCTCACCCTGCAGCATCGGCAACATTTGCTCAGGCCTCAAATCCAACCAGATCAAGGGCAACTGCCTAACGGACAACAAGAATGTCCAAACCGACGTGGACATTGGCAGCCAATGTGGGAACGGCATCGTGGAGGCCGGCGAGGACTGCGACTGCGGCGGCGAGGCAGGCTGCAATGGAAACAAGTGCTGCGATCCCAAAACGTGCAAGTTCACCAGCGGCTCCGTCTGTGATGCCTCCAACGAAGACTGCTGCACGGATCAATGCCAGTTTGCATCGAGCGGCACAGTCTGCCGCCCCAGCACCGGCGAATGCGACGTTCTGGAAACCTGCCCCGGCGACAAGGCCGCCTGCCCGGTCGACAAGCACAAGAATAACGGCGACTCGTGTGGCAATGGGCTCGAATGCGCGTCGGGGCAGTGTACTTCGCGCGACCTGCAGTGCCAGCACATGGCCAACAGCTTGACGGGCCGAAACAACACCAAGGCTTGTCCCGAGACGGAGTGCATGCTCGCCTGTACGTCGCCCGACCTCCCCTCCAACCAGTGCGTCACGTACAACCAGTTCTTCGTGGACGGGACCAGCTGCGGCGCCGGCGGCCACTGCTCCAGCGGCAAGTGCGAGGGCAGTTCGACGCTCAAGGAAATCGGACAATGGATCGATAACCACAAGGCAATTTTCATCCCCATCGTGTCGGTCGTCGGACTCCTGATCATCATTGCCATCATTAGCTGCATCACGGGCAGCATCCGACGCCGCATGCACAAGAGGAGGGTGAGGAAGCAGGCGGTGCCCGGCATGAACAGCAGCAGCTGGCCGCCTTCATCGTTCAGCGGACAGCAGCAATGGGGCGGTCCGAGGCCGTGGAACGGACCACGACAGACCGAGTCGTCTGGCGCTCTGTTTCCCCCCGAGCAACAGCATCAACAGCAGCAGAGTGGGTTTTACGATCCGCCGCCATATCCTCCTCCGCCGGCGGCAAATGCAGACGGGAGGTGGGGGAACCAGCGGAGCCTGCGGTACATGTAGCGAGGTCAGAGTTGGAGAGTTGGAGATGGTATATATCTATATATTTCATGCATTACTTGGCGTTTTGGATAGGCATAGGACGGCACACACACACACACACACACACCTATACTACACACGTATATAAATAAATGGTTTCTTTTCTTACACTCACCACAAAAGCATCCAGACACGTAGACGCGGCCAGCACTTGAATCACCTACCAGTCCACACTTCCGCACAGCCCAGCGGTCATCTCCTCCTCTCCCGTTCCCTCTCCTTGTCGCGCTCCCTCTCCCTCTCCCTTCCCGCCACCACCTCCTTACCCTTCCGCCGCTCCTCAAACCCGCACAGCATCGCCGTAAACCGCAACCTCTGCCCGGGCACGCTCTGAGCACCGTCAGCCAAGCACTCTCGTGATGTGCTCACCTGAAAAGAGGGGGGGCCTACATCACCCGCACTCAGGGCATACATCATCAGCGACTCGGGGCTGTCCAGCACGCTCAGCGCAAAGCCCCGCCGCTCCTTGTCCTCGAACGGCTCCGTCTTGACCCTGCGCGCGTCAGCGATTTCCCCTGCTTTCCTTTCCCTTTGCCTCGCTCGTCGGAAAACGCGAACGCACCCTCTGCCCAGGCGCACCCGTCTCTCCGGCCCGTCGTCGTAGTCGCTATCGCTGTCCTTGTAGGGGTCCTTGCCGCGCGCTTGGCGGTCGCGCATCTCGGGGGTGCATTCTGCTCCTGCTGCTGCTGCTGCTGCTGTGCGCGACGCAGATCCCGTCGGGTTGTGGTACGTGCTTCGCGAGGGAGTGGTTGTCGACATGGTTCAGGGTATCAATGGGATTGGATGATGATGATGGGGAAGAAAAACCTGGGGAGGGTGAACCCAAGCGGTGGTGGTGGCGGTGACAAGTCCGGGGCGCTGATTATACAGCCGTTGTTAGGTGCGGGTCGGCTATGTGGAAATATTCAGCGTCTATGAGTAAGGGGGGATGAGAATCGGGTTCGTATTGAAAGCGAGGTTGAGGATGCAATGAGGACCCTCGAGTCCAAGTCGGTCAAGTGTAGTTGGGCATGTTGTTGGTCTGAGGATACAAAGTGGCGGACCAATCTGATACATGTACGGATGCCCCGCCACCGCCGGCCCGTCACTCAATTCTTTGTGCATTGCAATCTCTGTTCGACACAACAGGCACACATCAAAGCCGCACCTACGAACGTAATGTGATATCCAATTCTCGCCAATCACCCATGGTATAATACACTCCTCGGTCGCTTCCTGCGCCGTGGCTAGCAAACAAGAGAAAAAAAGAAAAGAACCACCACATACTGCACGTGTCAAAACGTGAAGGTAAATGCACGCCATCCTCCCATCGAGTGAATGCTGCCAGATCCGCCTACGCCCCGGGTCTTGTCAATGTTCCAAAACAAAGAAGCCGACACACGCATACGCCGTCCTCTATTCCATCGTTTTCATCATCAGATATACTCGATGCTTCCCCCCTCCACCCAAAGTTGTTCGTCTTCGTCTTCGTCCTTCAGCCTTGTGTCCCGTTGGAAAGCCAGCAAATCATATACAAAAGGAACTTCGTTCCGCCACTTGTGTTGGCATGTGTAGTTCGCAAAAAGTGCCGGCGCGCCAGCCCAATAAAAAAAGATGTAACAGAAAAAAAATAATGCCAAGACTTCAAGTAAAACATTAAAGGCCAGCTCCCCGTATGCTCGTTTTGGGACGCTTCTGGGTTCCAGTTGTCTTTGTGTCGAGACGCCGTCAATCCCTTTTGGCGTGCCATTGCTCGTGTCGTGATCGATATATACTTCGTACACCCTGCCGCATTATTGCTTGGATATCAGGGCCCTCCGCCCTCAGAGCCTGCTCAATGTGTCGTCGCATGCAGTTGGTCCCGATTGAAACGAAGCGTAGGCTACCTCCTAAAGTTTATTACGGCAAGCTACACAGCAATGTAAGCATGATGCTCGTGGGCATAGAGTCAATGATACCTTGCGGGAAATACTTACTCTACTGTTCGAACCATACGCCAGCTTTTGTCCGCTGACATCCCAGCACAGGCAGTGTTCATCTTCCTCTTCAGTGTCCGAGCTACCCTTGGGGCTGAGCCATCCTGGATGTGGTGGTCGGTTCCAGCTTGCTCTCGGCATCGTGTGATTATCCACCTTCCATATTAATACTTGCCGCGACGAGGCGCCGGCAATAAAGGCGCCGTCAGGGGTAAAGGCAAGTCGTACGATTGGCAAGTCCATCGTCAGGAAACATTTCGCTTTGCTCTCGGGTTTCCGGGCATTCCATATTAAAATGGCACAATCATCACCGCCAGTAGCAATCAGCCGCTCGTCGTCGGGGACGGCTTGGTTAGGCGGCAAAGGCTGCCATGCCATCGTGGTGATGGCTCCTTGATGAGCTGAAATAGATCGCCGTTGCCCTGACTCATCCCACAGCTATCATCATGTCATTGTCAGCATCCGCATAACCAGCGTTTCCGAGGGAAAGCATCACTCACGTCAAGAATACCCTTGTCACTGGAAGTGGCAGCCAATTTTGAGTGTCTGTCAAAAAGCACCTGGGTAAAGCTATCGTCCTCCTTGGTTTCGAATTTCCGTGACTGACTAATTGCTGAATTGGTGAAACGAAGGCATAATAGTAAATCGCCGCCACTCAACAAAAACTCGTCGTCATCGATCCAGGCTGCGTCCAGCGCTGTTGTTTCTATGTCGTGTCCTGGTAAATGATAGTTCAAAACCTTGCCACCAAATGAGTAAACCGTAATGAGGGCGCCTCCTTTTTCTGGCGAAACGGCGAGCAGGGCAGAGCTGCTTGGGTTCCAGCTGAGCTTTATAATGGGCGGCTCAGCCACGTCCATGGTTTGCATGAGAACACCGTCGGCTGACCATACACTCACTGCAGCCGACGTCTCTAAATCGGTCGCGACCGCAATGGCAGTGCCGTCGGACGTCCATGACAATGCCGTGACGGTGGTTGTGCGCGGCGTGGATGGATCGATGAGAGTGTTGGCCAGGGGAGCCACGTGATCTCTGCCATCCTTGGCCGACTCGGTCGTTGCGTCCGTGGAGCGACAGATGGTCCAAACGCGGGCTAGCGCATCGGTTCCAGCAGCCGCCAACATTGATGGGTCGCAAGGGTTCCACTCGCACTGGAGCAACACAGGCGCATTCTCGGCGCCTACTGGAGAGGGCGATGGCGTAGCTGTGGCTTCCGAGGCCTTGAGCAAAGAGCGTTCGTCGTCCATGAGGTGGATAAAAGTGGTGTCCGGCGATAGTTCCTCTACCTTGTCGACCTGCGTGCCCTGCTCGGGGCCGTCAGTGTGGATGATGGGCGGAGGCAGCTGCTCCCCTTCCAACGGCGACGGATAGGCGTGGTTGTTGCTGGCGTCGTGTTGGCCGTCATGAGAGTTGGGTTGAGGGTGAGGGTGATGGTGATGACTGGGATCAAGGTCCATGGGTGTGGTGGCGGAGGTTGAGGTGGTGTTGGTGGTGGTTGTGGAAGTGGTGGCAGCCGTGGCCACGGCTGCGGATGCGGATGCGTCAGTGTAGCCATTGCTCAGACGCGGTTTCTTTGCCGGCGAGCCATTCGGTAGCTGGAGCTGTTGTTGGATGCGCTTCCGTGATGAATCTACGTCGCCGCCGACTGCAGCGCCCTCGCCCTCTTCCACCTTGGCCGGCTGCTGCGAGTTCAATGGTCCAAAGACGCCGACCTGCACCGGCTCTGCCTCTGCCTCTGCGTCGGCCCCTGCACTGGCGGCATCGCGAGACCGCTGCGGTGAGAATGTCTCGTCAGCCAAAATAAACAAGGTCGGGTCCTGCGTTTGCCTGCTTGCCTGCTTGCTTCGACTGTGCGAGGCAGCCCAAAGCAGACAAGGCTCGCCGAGGGACATGAGGTGCCTGCACGTCCACACCCAAGGCGGCCCAGACAAGAGACAAAAGTAGAAGCCATGCATTCGGGTGAGACGTCGTAGCAGTCCCGACGAAGCAGACCACGGACAGACGGGAGAGAAAGGGAAAAGAAAAGTAGAGCAAAGGGACTCACCTTGCTGAGTGCGAATTCACGTTCAAGAGCATAGTAGATCAATCCTCGGTTGACGACCGACACCAGTGCCTGGCTCTTGACATGAGGCGCGAAGGGGAAATCTCGGTGTGGCTCGTTTACGTGCCACTCCTTTTGAAACTTGGCGGCGGTTTCGCGGTAATCTGCAATCATCAACAAATTCAGTTAGACAAGTTTTTCCGGTAGAAAAATGCCCAGAGTCTGCGCATGTCGTTGTATTGCAAAGGTGCAAAAAGAGTTGGTGCCACGTACTCCCTTCCAGCAGATACCTGCACAACATATTAAAGTTAGCAAAAAAAAAAGGAACCGGCAAACCACTGGGGAAGGCGCCGGGGGGACGGAGTCTCTCAACGTCAGAGCTGGCATGAGAACAAAGCAGCGGCAAAAAAAAAAAAACAATGAGAGCGAAGCACGTCAACGAGACGGTTCTCAATGCTGCAGCAAGACGAGTCGAGAGAGTCCGAGAAAGTCGAGGCGCGGTTGGGGATATCCGGGACGAACCTCCAGATCAGAAAGTTGACCCTATCCGAGTCGAGAAATTCCTTGACCACCATGGTTGCCAAGCGCGCGCCGCAACTGGCGGCAAAGTGACGGGTGGCCGGATAGTCCTCCTAGAGGCAGAATACAGTCGTCGAGTGCAGGCTCAGTCGTTGTCGATGTGAAGAATGTCGTCGAGCAGCCGCCGGGGCAAGGGCGACACACGGGAAGTCGTTGACGGGGCAGATGAAGCAAAAGTGAGAGTCAAAGTGAGGGAGTGAGTGAGTGAAGATTTGAGAGCGAGATGAAATCCACATCTCTGGTGCTGGCGCCGGGCCAGGTTGAGTGGCTCTGGGGCGAGGTACCGGCAGCGGTAATGGAGAGAGCACCAAATAGCAAGGTACCGAGGTACCTTGCTCGGGTCCTCAATTGTGGTGTCTGGTCCGTTTGCCTGGCTTTGTTCATGTACCCGGGTACTTTCAATGTTGCCTGTCCTGGGCAGGCTTCCACTTTCAGCACCTTCAACCCCAACTGGTCGCAGACACCAGACAGCAACGTAGAGCAACGGACCAATAGTAGTAACATCGGAGTATGGACTATGGAGTATTGGGTACGTACCTCGACGTCCCTCCAGATGTCCGCCCACCTGCAACCTCAAGCTGGCAACCAGACATGTTTGCCGAGCCCGCACCCGCCAGCCAAGCGAAAGTGTGTTGCTTTGTCTGCATCACATCTGCGTCAACTACTAGTACAAAGCAGCTACTGCCTTCTTCAATGCCCCTCGAGTCCCTGGCCTCTTGACCGGCGCTCAACTGTTGCTTGCGGGCCCCCTACTGGCTTACCAGCCCAGCCGGCAAGGCAAGGCAAGGCAAGGCAAGGCGAGACTGGCACACACTGACAAACTTGGCGCCCACTAGGCTTACAGAACCACTGAGCCAATGTCCGACCTGGAGCCTGTCTGTCTTGTCACTCCCGCCTGGATGCGCAAGGGTGTGTGTGCGTGTGTGTGTTCGTGCATGTGGGTAAACATGGGTTAATGGATAGAGCATTGCCATGGGGGGGTGGGGGGCGTGTTCTCAAGGTCTCACAGATTCAGAAGCTTAAATGTGGGTTTTGCTCTCTGGCTTGATATTCGTATCGTCGTCGACTTTGCGCATCTGTCCTCTGACCTCTTGTCCTCTTTGCCTGCAGCTTGCACCAGACTCAGCATTGGGCCCTGCTGCCCCCTTCGCCCATTCAATCTTGTCACGCGGAAGCAACACCGCTCTGGCCGCTAGCCGTTGACAATGAAGATGAAGACATTTTCGATCAAGACACCGCCCTGCCCAGGATCAAGGAGCATTCGCCTTTTCCCTGGCCGCTTCGTTTCGTATCAGGCATCGTCACAGTCCCGTCTGCGTACGGAGTAGTACGCCTCAACATCTTCTCACCTTGGGGACAAAGATTGTTTCTACAGCAGATGTGAAAAGGCCCTTCGCCTAAAACCGTCCCTGCATTCCCCTTCTTTCTAGACGGGGATTCCGTGTGACAAGGGCACACAGGGCGGGTGGGTCCCATTCGACCTGGTCTTCAAAATGATGGGTGGGATACGCCGCGCCTACAATTGAGGGCCCAAGACCATCGTCAACCGTGGGAGCGAAACGTGAGGCTTCTGATTTTTCCCAGCATGTTGGACCGTTGGCATCGGTGTCGGCTTCCTCATTGCTCGTGGTTGTACGTATGTACACTGACCTGTTCCTGTGGGACAAATGTGTGCATGACAGGGTGGCTCGTTGCAAACGCAACCACCAAACGCGGATCTTGTGCGGATGCGCTGCCGTCAGCCATCGTCACTCGTGGCCTTGCCCGCTTCAGTATTACGGAGTAATCAGAAACAAGCCTGCCTGCATAGGGCCTGGGGCTGAAGGGTGACGGGCCCTCGATTGATGTGAAGTGGAAACCCCCGTTCCAGGGTCTCTTGGTCTCCCGTTGTGAGTGGCGCCAGATGCAGCAATCAGAACCAGATGCTGGGTCGGCCCAACATGCAGCCTACGGTATTACTAGCGAACCAGCCGCCCAGCATTGGCCGATGAAAGGCTGATCAATTTGCGTCAACATCATGGCCACAGGGGAACCAGAGTCCAGTCATGCACACCCGGGCTGCGCGAGCGTTTGGACGTTGATTTTAAGGGGCGTCCATCATTGATAACTACTACCTAGGTAAGCAGCCGTTGCTTTTGACCAAGCTTGCAACGCCCGCCTCGTCAGTTTGCTGCTCTTTCGTGACAGGTGGCGTCGTCTAAAGTTATTGCCCTAGGACTGAAGCGATTCTCCCACGTTGTTGGTCATGAGCCACGGCCACAGTGGTGGATGGCGGCAAAGGACCTGGGACGCAGAGGCCTGCCTAGCCGCAAATAATCTTGCGACCTGACCACGGGAGACCTAGATTGCCACCCGGCATTCATCCCATCATTGAGACATAATGGCTAACCTCGGGGAACGGGGGCTGGCGGCATCCTTGCACAGTCGTCGTCATGCAGCCGTTCTTCCGCCTCGGTAAGGTCTAATCGCTGGTCAACCTTGGCAATTTCTATATTTATACGAGCTCTGATATCAAGGCGGTTCATTTGAGACGCGTCTACGATGCGCTTCGGGCGCGACGATGAGGATTAGGGCGTTGGCTGCACCACCTCTCACCCTCGCTCGCATGCTCGTGCTGGTGGTGCTCGTGCTCAAAACTTTTGTTGGAGGGCGGGCCCATGTTCCTCTGGAATCTGAGACTGCGCAGATCGCCTGGTACATGAATGTGGGTGTTGCCAAAAGGGCAAAGGGCAATCAATGCAGCTTTGGCCAATGGCGGGACCGAGAACTTGCTCCATCGTGCCTGCCTTGCATGGAGTACGGAGTCTTAACCGTAACCTTCTACAAACCAAATTGTATGGCCCAGATGACGGTGTGCGCCCGCCGTCGCAGTCCACAATGTCCTTCCGACAGTCAGGGGCAATTCGAGAAACGGCTTCGCAGCAATGTAACAACGTTCTAATAGTACATATTATTCAGTGTCAGTAGCGGCTCTTCAGGCGCAGCTTCTTTAGGAATGCACACCAACCATGATCAGTCTTCGCTCCACATGGCTCTCCATGAAACCTTGCATACAGATCATTCCTGCAGACCGTTCACTCAAGATTGGATGCGAGTTGCGTAACGCCTAACAGGGGTTGCAAGGGCATGACAGATTCGTGCGGAAACATCGGCGCGTGAGTAAGAAGAACTGTACATAAAATTCTCTTTCCTAAAGAGGGCCACCCTTCCGAACAGATGGGGCTGAACGACGTCAACTTTTTAAACTGGCCATCTCTTGATAATCAATATCACATTACTCCGCGGAGGTGCGTTCAACGAAAGACGGGGTCTGATGATGCGAACCACTGCACCTCGTCGACCCTTGTCCACGAAGACAAGCTTCTCGATGGGAGACTCGAGGCTGGCTGGAAATTGAACACATCCGCATCCAGGCCTCATCTTGAACCGCAGCAGAAACGGACGTTCCCGCTCCCCACTCCACCGTATCTATCTATTTTAAGCACGCAGCATCATGCTCTACATGTCGCGGCGTGCACGTCGACGCAACCAGGCATAGTGCAAGATGCAGTCCACAAGGGAAGTTCAAATATGCCAGAGGCTTGTTTGAGGCAAATCCATTCACCATCACCCTCATTCTTCTTGCAAATGATAACATAAGCCCAGCTTCAAACAAGACTGCAATATTCTGGGCAGTTACACCATCTTAGAACACAAATGCGAACGATTCACGGGGCAGTGTATACACTTTTCGATTTCATAGGCTCACTGTATCCCCCCTAGTGCCATCGTTCTTGAACGCAAGCCTTCAGAAGCTGCTGATACTGTTCTGAAAACAGAGGTCGACGACGGCAGGTCCTGCAGATAAATGCTCCCACTCGCTGTATTCACATCTTCAGGTTCGGCATTTTCAGATTCTCCTGGTGAGCCATGCTGGGAAAGCCACTTCTTTCGTGCCCATGGAAGAAAATTATAGTAGCCTCCACACGCAAAGACCCCGAGCCACAATGCAAGTTCTGTTCCATATATCACCATGCCCAAAACGTCCAGCTTGGGCTGGAAGAAGACGGATATCAAGGAGAACAAATCTCCGGCGGCGTCGATTCCGACAAACATAAACGATATCCCTCGGACAGTGCGGTGAACCCAGATGTCCCAGTAATGGCTCAGCACACCTGCACCAAGGAGACTGGCGGATAGCACACTCATGACCGTCATTGGCCAGTCAACACCTCGGTATCTGAGAACTCCAAGGCCAACTATTAGGGCAGCTTGACAGCCGCCCATGATGACCACAATCGGCGCCAGGGTAAGCATTGATCGTGAAACAGTCCATCCCTAGCCAGAGTTAGCCTTTTTCGTCTCATTATTGGCAGTGTGTGCGTTTCGAGACATGTACCCTCTGGTAGTAGTAGCATTGAATCCATGTTACCAAGCTAAGAAACGTGAGAATTTGAGGCTGTATACGCAGTGCAATGTTGAACTCCTCAACAATATTGTATACTCCAAGAGGGACTCCCGCCCAGGCCCACAACATCATCATCGATGACTGAAGACCAGTCGCATTGTGTCGTCGGTAGTTGACCACGATTTGTGGTATAAGCTACGGCTGGTCTCAGCCTTAACCGGATGGGACGGATACGACCATGGAACGCACCTGAATAGACCAACAAACCTGCATAAGGCGCTGTTAATGGTGACTCCTGCGCCACAACTTGACCATATTCACGAGGAATACTTACAGCTCCAAGTGTGCCAAGCACGTTGGCCGCAACAGGAACGTCCATCTCTTAGGTAACGGACAGGCGATCAATGGAATATGGTGACATTATATTTACATTGAGAGTTCCTCATTAAATACTGTGACGGTGATGGCGGCATGATCCGGCCGAATTTGATAGCAACGCAACATGATGTCGTGACTCGTGAGCGGATCCCAGATTTCCGAGCCTTTCCAAGACCCAGCCACACCCACTGAAATACGGGCTTGGTGCATTCAAAGAGTAGAAGGGGGGGGGAGAAGGAAAAAAACACAGAAATTTAAGCAAATAATCTCATCGGGTAGTATTGCAAACATGTATCACGAATATCGACCTTGTTTCTCGACGTGGTCGACTCAAGCAGCCACGATTTCGTTTCAGCCTGAGGCCAGAACGCGCCACCAGCCACATCACTCCCAACACAATAAGGCACGTGTTATCCTCCGCAAGCCTCTTGCGGCATTGCGTCCAACACCACGAGAGCTCAAGAAATCTGGTTCCCAACCAGCTCAGCCAGGCAACAATCCCCAACTTTGCTCCCAGCCAGCACCTAGCTCAGAGCACCCTCCCGCGACGACCACACCTCTCAAACGCAGTACCTCCTTCTCATGAATATATAAAAAGGACAAGGGACCTCCTCCCATCCCGCCTCTAAACTCCCTCCTCCTTCACGCCCACCATGCCGCCGAGATTAAACATCCCGCCCGTCACCCGCACCGTCCTAATAGTTCTGCTGTCGCAGTCCTTCCTCAGCGCAGCAATCCGATACCGACAATGGACTGAAAACTCCCACATCGTCATTCCCTACCTGACGCTCGTGCCGCAGCTGTCGCTCGTGTTCCCCTGGACGTTTCTGTCGTCGGCGCTGGTGGAAAGTAACGTCTTTACCTTGGCCATCTCCGCGCTGACATTGTACCATGGAGGACGGTACTTGGAACGAGCTTGGTCCTCGGCGGATTTGGCCAAGTTCTTGGCCTTGGTGACTCTTGTGCCTAACGTTTTGACTTTCTTGATCATGGTGTTCTTTTTTACTCTTACTCGCAATGAGAGCTGGACGTATGTGCAGTCCCCCCCCCCCCGGGGCGCAATTCCTCTGAGTTTTCCTTTGCAGAGGGTTGCTGAAACTAACATCTATGTGCATGCAGTCTGACAACCATTTCTGGCGGCATTTCTATCCAAATCGCCTTCCTCGTCGCATTCAGCCAGCTCATCCCCGCGCACACCGTCACCCTCTTCCGCGGCATCGTATCGCTCAAAGTGCCCCGTTTCCCGCTCCTCTACATCGGCGTCGTGACAGTGCTATCCCTTACGCCTCTGCTCTCGAGGGCAGCCCTGTGGCAGGCCACCTTTGGCTTCCTCGCAAGCTGGACATACCTCCGGTTCTACAAAAAGGTGTTTCCCGACCTGGAATCGTCGCAGCCGGCGTCTCTGCGCGGCGACGCCAGTGAAACATTTGCGTTTGCCGAGTTCTTCCCGGGGCCTGTCAAACCCTTTGTCGCCGCCGTGTCGGACCAGATTTTCGATATCCTCGTCGCCATGCGCGTCTGCACGCCCTTTTCACACGCAGACATGTCCGCGCGAGGCGATCGCGCCCTGCAGAGAGGCACCCCGGGCACGGCACGCGCCGAGGCCGAGCGCAGAAGAGCCATTGCGCTCAAGGCTCTTGACCAGAGACTCAACGCGGCCGCTACACGGGCTCCTGCTCCCACGCAGCCTTCGGGCCCACCGATTCAGACACAACCACAGCCTAATGCTCATACAGCCATGGCATCTCAGCCTGGTGCAGTGCTGGGGGAAACAAAATTCGAGCCAGAGCAAGACGATGCAACAGCCAGCAAAAACTAGGCGGGGGCCTCACTAGGCACAGAATGTCTGTCGCGGTGTAGGATATGTGTGGTGTTGTAAGAGTGGATGGTTAATTTTATAGTGTTGGACGGAGATGCCACCGTCTTAGCAGGACGGAGTTGGGATGCTTGGGATGTCTTTGCTTTTTCATTGTGTTGTTGTTCTAAGGGATTCGTCTGTCTTGAGGCTCTTTATGCATAGCAATAAAGCGATATTGGCGCATTTCATCTGACGTATGGTGACTGTTTGGTTGAGAGTACAGCTGGCCATGGCCTCTCATCTTGCCAATTTGGGCAATTTCCAGTCGTGCCCGCATCCAATCGTGGGATCGAGGTGCTTCTCGTTGGCCCGCATAGCAGCATGTCGATGGATATTATTAAACTACCCCGGGTCTGCGTAACAGTCTAACGGTCTACGATGTTAAAACAAGACGCTGCACAGCGGCTCGAGCTCGCCTGCCCCTTGGCATGAGCCTCGAAAGCAAAAAAAAAAGTCCTCGAATGAAGCGGCCTTTTTGCCATCAAAACACCCCGTCACAACGCATGCAGAAACACACCGCTTGTCACGAGGGCGTTGCTATAAAAAGCAGTATTGCTTCAGGGTAGCTGTTCGCACGGCTGAATCCTGGTCTGGCCCAGGTGCCATCTGCGCTCATGTGCATGCGCAGGTGACCTCATTTCGCTAAAACCAGGCGTCGGGAGCTGCGGGTCATTTTTTTTTAGGTTGCCGATTGACAGATGGCATTAGGCTCGGCGGGCTGTAGATTGCGGTTTGCGAGAAGGGTACGGAGTACTCCGTAGGCGACCGCCACAGTACGAGATGGCTGGGGCATTTAGGCCTCTTTGTCTTCTTAATTACCATTTATGGAGGACATTCCCCTTTAACGAACCCGAATATATTACGGAGGTGTAATGCATAGAATTTTGAACACCCTGTCGAACACCAAGCCTTTCTTATGTGTAGAGCTGAGAAGCGGGTATTGTTTTATCGCACGCATGGCAATTTCGTACTGTGGTGTGTTAGGGTATACTTGGCGATGGGTCATCTAAAAATCGTGGGGTTAGAGACGAGACAAGAGGTGAAACTTGACTCTCGCAGTAGCTTTTGCCAGAGTCATGATACTCAAGAATGGTCCCGGAGCAAGCAAGAATGTGGATGGAGCCGAGGTGTCTTTTAGAGCCAGCGAGTCTGGCCCAAATGATGCGATGACAGGCCCGGCAGTCGAAGAGGAACTGGTATTTGACCGTCGATACCGGAAAGGGCTTACACATGCAACGAAGCAACATGTCCAGGCCGTGGCATCCTCTCCCTGTGCGATGACGACCCCAGAACGAGCACATGAATCTCATCCGACGTGCCATGATCGTCGAGCCACGCTGTGTTGGCTGTAACAGCGGCGACAGAGGCGGCGCCCGGGGGGACGGACAACGCACCAGTGACTCCCGCAGCTGCGGGATGAACTTTGTGTGTGCCACCCTCCCTCCCCGAGGCGTCATATACATAGCTACCGTTTCGTTCGGTATAGGTGGGCTTGGCCTGGCCTGGACCCATCAGCCGACGTGACTTGTAAACAATGGTGCTTTGCGCATCAGCAGCGGCGCCGAGGAACAACACTTGAGCTTGAGATCGCAGACTGGGGTACTTAAGTAGTCAGGAACTGTGACGGTCACGATGACGGAATCACCACCACGATGACCCATTTCCGTTGGCGGGCTGGGCAAGAAGAGGTGATTGTGGAACTGGGCACGTCAGCGAGCGCTACATTACATATGTACAAGGCGCGCCTCCATTAGGCAACGCTGATGATGCTACTAGTGTTGTGTTAATGTGGACAAGGAGGATAGAAATACTAATGCTTGGCTAGGACGACTCAGGAGAGGCATCGAATGGGTGGAGCAACCCTTGTTGGACTAGGGGAGGTTGGAGACAAACCTTGGTCTGCGCTTCCGAAACGCCCATGTACCTAGATACTAGTCTTTGCTCGGTACAGACTATATGTGTAATTGTTACTGAGCATGTACAGGCCGCCTTTTGTTGCTTATTCGGTCACCCAGGTCCGTAGTACTACTCCGATACATTCTTGCAATCACGAGCGGCGGGGCCGGAGACTTTGTGGGGACGAGCATGAGCCGGGGGTTGGCCGCAGCCAGGAGGTTCAGATGGATGCGTTGTGGGCGGCGGAATTAGGGAATAGAAAAGTCGAGGTGTTTTTCGTTTTTCGTTCTGGCCGAGCCAGGATAAAAGGGCGTGGGGCGGTAGACGATCAAGCACTCTAGGATTCAAGGATCCGAGCAGAGGGAGTGGACTGAGCCCTTTTTGGCTTCTGGCTTCTGGCATTTTGGCTTTTGCATCTGAAGGCGATGCACCGAGCACGGGCAGAAAGGGCGTGGACTTTTTCCAATGTTGGAGAGGACGGGGAACAAGGGGTGGGGACAAAGAGGCGTGTGGCGGCACGTCAGCGAGTTCGGCAGGTTTCCTTTGGGGGCTTCGGAGCCCCAGATGGAGGGAAGGAGGCAACATGCTCTGACTCCAGACGCAGCAGCAGTAGCAGTACTCAGTTGTCAGGCAGTAGTGATATGGGATATTGGAGTATAGAGTACAATGCTGCCCCGAGTACGGGACACTTCCATGTTGCCCCCAAACACACAAATCACCACCAGACCAGATGCGTACAGAGTACTCCGTACATACACTAACAATAGACGAGTTTTCTGCCGAGAGACAATGTTAGCGCCCACACCATCACTGTCCAAAGTCGACAGGCGAGCAACCGTCGACAAGTTGCCCATCGTCTTCCAATTACCACTTGCCACAACGCCGTTCATGACTTCGTCAGTGCGAAAGTGTGAACGCCCTTCTACGCCGCGCGAAGCCTGCAGCACGAGTTTGGATATTTCTGGTCGTCGACGCATTCGATGCTGCCCTAGCACACGGCGGGATGCATTTTGCCTCCCCGACCCCTGCTGAGGCTATTAAGACCTCGATCCGACAGAAGCACGGAGCACGATGTAGGGCAACAGTGTTAGCATCCGAGCGTTGCATCCAGAGGGGAAAGAGTGTGATGTAACACATCCATGCTCCGTACCCAGCCGCCAGTCGTGTGTCTGCGTGCCCTGCACCAGACTGCATCAAAGGAGGACATGGGCTCTATGCGGCTGGGGAAATCCTTTGGCCGAACGCCATCTGTGCCACGTTGGCTATGTTAAGGCATTGGCTGCGGGAGCAGCTCGTTGGCGAGCAAGCCACCGTGGTGTGCGCGCACGATGGCTTGAGTCTGGATCATTATCCATTAAACGTGGTGAGTGATGACTTATTTTTTTTGGCCTTGGCCACTTTGAAACCTTTCAAGGGGAATGGGGCGCTAGAGTGCAATTGTGGCGCCATTTCCAGGGCCTGGCTGACAATACTACTACTATTTACTATTTTACAGACTTTCTTGAAGAGCGGCTGTATCGTCTCAACGCTACATGCGGTCGGGTCACGACATATCGCGGTGTTCAACTCATCGCGGCCATGGTGCTCTGGATCGATTGACCCGATAACGTACTATATCGCGCGTACGAAACTCAGTTACCGTCCAAATTTTGCGCAATACTAGTTGCAACTGCCCTGGCAAGAGCTACTATTTAACGTTGGAGCATTCTCCTTCAAACTTTGTTTTAGCGCAGGGCGCTTGACAGTGATGCTAGGGCTAGGCACCGCACAATAGATCTTGTGGCGCTTGTTGTCGTTGAGCGCCTGGTAACATGGCAGCATTCTCTCAGCAGTCAGGCTTGGCTCACGACATATATGCGATTTATGCAATACTTATCGGTGTATTAGTTGTATCTCCCAAACCGGCTCCGCTTACCTGGTTTTGCAGACCGAAACACCCTGGCTCCACGATAACGATACCCGCTACGACACGACGTAATCCACAGAGTTGTGATGGAAACACGGGCCCAAGACCATACCGTATGTATGTACGTACATACCAGTACAGGTACCCTTTTCCTGTGGTGGGTTTTGCCCCTTGTAACCGGGTGATGGATTCGGCCGTACTGGCATGACTGCACTGACCTGCATCGTTTGGCGTTGGAAGTCATGTCAAAGTTTAGATGACTGTCTGTTTGTGGCTCCTCTATGACGCTGGCAACAATGACGAAAAGAGCCGAGATCAAAGAATCAAGACCACAGTGCGACAACACGCTGTGCAGTCCAGCCATTTTGGCCTGCTCTTCCAGAAGCACAAACACGTGCCTAGCATCTCATGCACCGTGCTGTAGGAGCGCCACCACACTAGAACTTTGACGTGGCCCCGCGCCCGAGTTCGAATACATAGTACTCCGTACTTATCTGTTGGTCGCGGTGCAATTACCTGGATCTCATTGACCCTGCAAGCCCGGATTACGAAGGTTGTTAGTCAGAAACTGCGAAAAGACTCAGCGCAATACGTGCTCAGACTCATTTGCTCTCGCCAAATACTGCAGGTATTTCTGTCAACTTGTTTCGCTTTGGACCTGGGCTGTTTCGTTTTTCATGCTGACTGCGACAACGGCTCGTCTCCCTAGTCGACACAGATTTTTTTCATGGTTTCAGCTCCCCCCCGTAGATCACAGATTTACGTCGGTAGCGGGAAGGGGCAGATGGCACGGTAATGGAACACTGCCTTAGCTTGGAAATCACGTAGGCAGATCAGACATGAGCTAATATCTAAGATGTTCGACGGGCGGGCCATTTTTTTTTGGGGCGTTTATTTGCGCAGCAAGGACCGACTCTTCAAACACGTAGACTCACGTGTGGCGTTGTAGGTCCATTTTGGCTACGGTCGGGCATATCGGAGTGGTGATTCAGGTCCGTCCTTCGAGGCGGCCAAATGTAGTAACGTGGTGATTCACATGGGAAATAAGGTGTAAAGAGGTACAAACACGCCAAACACCAAACCCTGCGGCATCTACTCTGCGGCCTACTAGATACCCAGGTACCTGGTTATTGACGGGTGACGGGCCGATGGCACCATT